TAGTTTTAGGACTTGTGTGGAGAACAGATCACATTTTAGGTCATATTTATGCAGAAATATTAAAAATTCAAAAGGCTTCACAAACTTTTAAGTGCCACTGTACTTGTTTGAAACCAGAACAGATGCCATTCAAAATCTTGTTCTGAAACTTTCTCCAGGGAATCACTTGTTAAATGCTATATTCCATTCATCCAAATTAACAAGCAGAACTTTTGAGCTTCCTCCTTGGTTAGTTTTAATCACACATATTGGAAGAAAGAGTTCCATAAGGATCAAACTACTTGCATCACGCACATGCCCACTTAATAGATAGCAGCCTTGTAAAAAGGCATATAATCCTGGGCTTCTCAGAGCTCAGGCAAGTTCATATAAATGTAAATAGTTTTTCAAATAACCTGATCCTAAATTGAGTCTTAAAGATAATCACCAGAATTCTTAAGTGAACCCAGAAAATGTACTACCATCTCACATAGCCAGGACAGAATAAATGTTATGTGCTATTTGGATACACAAGCAATAAGCAGCTGCATTTGGTACCAGACAGAGCTTCTGAGTCATGCTTATAGACAGTACCATATAAGAGTATCACTGTAGTCTAAACTGGGTATAACAAGTACACAAATAACTCTGGTTAGTTTTGCCCTTTCCACATATAACCAAAGCTGATAAAGGTCCATCTTTGCCTCTACTGGTAATATGAAATCCCAGAGAATGGCCAAATTGTGCATTAAATCTGGTCTTTCCAGGGAATATAATTCCTTCCAGTAGAATATTTGCATCTGGATTTGGGCATATTGCAGGAGGTGGACTTGATTGCCTCTGTGCCTGCTTCCTAATCTATAATTCTGTGATCCAGTGCTGACGGTGTTTCCCCATCCTGATTGTTACTCCTTTATTTAGAACATGGGGGAGGAGCTACTGAGAATAATATCAGTGGTAGTAAATTATATTCCATATACAAAACATTGTATATTCCTCTCATTGGAATAAGACCTCACTAACAGTGCTAGAAAGATTTTAAAAGCATTTTTGTAGTTTTGTAGGGGCCACCTTGGAGTAAGAAACTGAAATGATATTTCCAATCCTTCTCACTCTGTACTTTTTTACTTTTTTTGGTCATCAAGCCAAAAACTCCTCCAATTTCTTCCAAGGTAAACTTTCTTTACATAGTTTTTAGTGTGGTTTGGAAAATGATACAGTTTTCCTAAGGAAGCTGTCTCCGGTATTATGTTTGGATGCCAACATCAGAAGTGTACAGAACGTTATATGCTCATTAAGAGTACTCTATGTAAGTTATAGAATCATAATTTTCCTAGCAGCAAATGTAGGTATCCAACCATGCTGTCTTGGCCAACATTTCTTTCATGATGAAATATAGATTGTTCTATACATCTCTGTTGTATGTTCATATAATGGTAAGCTGTGAGCCCTGCCAGGTTCACATAAAACTAGTTGCAGTCTTTACTTACAGTGGTGCTCACATTTTCATATCCAAAAGTGAAATGATATAGGGAAAACCTTATTTGGGACAAGGGCCCCATGCTCCATAACCAGTATAGGATGCACCTTGTGTTGACTTGTGTTGAATATTTGGTCTATAATCAGTGTTACGTAAGTAGATATGAGTTTGTGTAGCACATCTTCTTTCTGCTCCCCATCCCCCTCATACCCACTTAACAGACACAACTGAGACAATAGAGAACTCAAATCTGGTTGAATAGGGACATGCCCTTCATTATTGAAGAATACAGTTAAGATTTTGGAAAGAGAGGGTTCTAGAATAGATTCATTCATCCTGTACTGATACTCTGCTGTATTACCAAAGAAAGACCTGTGTAGTCGAATGTACACAAAGGGCTAAGCCATTTTGAAATCAGAAGAACTTCCTTTCATATTTTGAAATTTCATTTTTAATGAATTGTATCTTACTCTGTGTAGGACTCTCTTTATTACTGTCTAGAAACTTAAGTTCAAATGCTGCTGGGATCTTTTGATGGGGGTACCCTGACTAGAACTCATGACATCTATAATCCAACTATTGCAGTAGCTTCCATTATGTTTCTGGAATCAATTCAGGGTTTTGCTTTTGACCTATGAATTCCTCAGTGGGCTAGATATCAGAAAATTTATGTTATATTCATGTAAATAAATACATAGTAAACTAGAAATTTTCTAGTTAGGCTATACTTAGAATTCCATTGTTGTTATTCCTGATTTGCTTCCACTAAAAGACAGGGCCACCTCAATTCATGTCCCAGCTGGAATAACATCTTATGGGAGTTAAACCATAATAGTAACTGGATAGTAGCAATACCATATCCAGCACCCGAGCATCTGTTTCTATAAACATAGATTTCATTTCATTTTCTCAGATCTAGAAACTTCTAGAGAAAAAAAATTATAAATTACATTTGTAGGATTCTTTACAAGTTCCTATTAAGTATGCACCCTTACTATAATTATACAAAGTATTGTAAGCAGAGCAGATAAAAATCAATGTTTTTCAGATTAACTTTAAAATTAGAGTTTTTGTTTCACTTGTTTTTCTTTACAATTTTCATTATAAACTTTGAGCTATATTCATTTTTAATCACAAGCATAACTTCTAATTATATTGTATTCTACTTGCTGATACAGTGTTAAGAGATAAATTAGCAGATGTGGTACTTGTCCTTTCTCTAAACCTGCCCCCCCCAAAAAGACAATAAATAAACAGAGGTTTTGAGACATTATCATAAAAGCTTGTTGTCTTCCTAGTATATCAGGCAAAAGTAATCACCAAATGTCCACAACACTTAATCGGTCATATTAAAAAAAAAAAAATCCTCTCTCACCTCTCTCTCTCTCTCTCTCTCACACACACACACACACACACACACTTACCAATGCTTATTTGGTATCAAGATCATCACTCTATTTTTAAGGAAAATTAATCTGAAAAAAATCTAAGTATTATATGAATCTTCTAAAAAGTATGTAGGTATATTCTCCATAGTGCCCAAGGGTAAGAATCAGTGGGTGGAAGCAATAGAGAGAGTAATCCAAACTCAGATTAAAGAGAAATTTCCTGATCATGATAGCTATGAAGCAGTGGAACAGTCTGCGTCCTGGAGTCATGAGTACTCCATTGCTGGAGGTTTTCAAACAAAGGTTGGACAGTCATTTGGATGGAATGACCGGAGGATTCCTCCCTTGGGCAGAGGGTTGAACTAGAAGACCTCAAGGTTACTTTCAACCTTATGATTCTATGCTTTGTGAAAATGAAATCTACATATTTGAGTACTACAGAGAGTACATGTGGGTTATAGCAAATAATAAGAATGCACTTTTATGAGAAACAATTATTACAGAATCTTTCTGACTAGTGAATAAATTGTGATTTAAATAATTCAATCTTCTTGACCAGCATGGATTTGATTTCAGGCAAATTGACCCTGATTTATCCACATTTTTGTCTAAAATAAATTCCAACCTATAACTTGTTTTCAGTCTCCATAAATTCATGAAGGAAAACCAATTACATGCAAAATTTTCACTCATTTTTGTATCTTCAATAATGCTTTGAGGTCTTATGGATCACATTAAAAAATATGAAATTACACTTACATGTTACAGTTTCTTTTGAATTCATTGGTGTATCAAATGTATTTTTTTCTTATTGGACTAACCATATCCAGTTGCAAAAATCTCTCTGCTACCATCTAGTGATTGTCCAGATTTTTGCAACCCAGATACGGTAGCCCTAGTTCAGGCCCCTGCACAGTACCACCATTGAATAAAATGACTTGATTTGGAGAAGGTTATGATGATAACTTCAGCTAGACACAGGAATGCAAATAAACTCTTTCTGATTTTGAATTTTGCAGAAACTGTTTGGCCTAAAGTTCGAGTTCCGTTAACAGTTGTACGAACCACAGAAAACAAACTGAGTAATCGATTCTTCCCCTATGCTGAGATTGAAACAGAGGCTGTGTTAGCCATTGATGATGACATCATCATGTTGACCTCAGATGAGCTGCAGTTTGGTTATGAGGTAAGAAGACAGCTATTTTTTATGTGGTATAAATTCATGGAAATAAAGGCTTCAGAGGAGAAATGTTAAAACGTTCTTATTTCTCCAACAGAATGAGTCCAAATCCTTATATGTTCAGTCTCCTGCATATTTATTTATTATTTATGACACATACAAATAAACATTTCAGTAGTACGAATAAACCATGAAACATGTTACAGTTCAGTTCAAGAACAGTGAATAAAAAATATAGGCTAAACAGATGTTAAAATCTAGAAAGACTGAAATATGTTTATGTATGAAGAAAAACCTAGAGTAGGTGGCAGGTTACTTTCCCTAGGAAATGCATTCCATAGTTGAGGTGCTACTACTAACAAAGAATCTGTTCACTTGCTATGAGCTTTCAGAGATTCTGTTTATGTATTATTATGAACATAAGAAGCCCCCTGCTAGATTTGGCCAAAGCCTATCTATTCTAGCATTATATGTCATGTATTAATTAGCCAGCCTAATTGCTCCCAAGAAGCTCACAAATATGGTAGAAAGGTGATAGCTCTCCTCCACAGTTGCTTCCTTGCAGCAAATATTCAAGGCATGCTACTCATGATTCTGGAGTTACTGCGAATCCATCAAAGCTAATAGTCATCAGTAACAGAGCACAAACATATTACACTTATCCTGAATATGGTGCTCTGATTGCCATTTGCTGCTGAACTACGTTTGAGGTTCTTTTGATGGATCTACAAAGTCCTGTATGGTTTAGAACCTGAAATATGTAACTTTTCCCCTTATCTGACTGCTTCTCAATTGACATCTAATGGGGATGCTTTTTGAAAATGTTGAATTTGCCATGGATTCACTGTATGGCTTACTGAAAGAAAGTACTCTCAATGCAAGGGTCACAATTATGGAATTTCTTTCTTAAAACTGAGCCTTAGAAGATTTGTAACTTATCTGTCTACCTACACTTTTGTTTAAATGTATACTATTGCCTTCTGTTCTGTTAATTTACTATGGCGTTTTAGCTGCTTTATAGTTTTAAGTACGTGTTTTAGATGGTTGTTGTTATTTCATGTTTAACATACTGTAAATTCCTTTTTTAACTATTTTATGCCGTGAAATGGTTTAAGCCATAAACATGTAAGTCAAACATTTTGTAAATAAAATCAAAAAGAATAGAGAAGCTTCAATTGGTAAGGTTGCCAATGGCAACTGAACATTTTAATGATAATATGTCAGTGCTTCATCTTTTTGAAATGTGTATTAAGTGCTGTGGCTTACCCTTAAAATCTTATATGGGTTGAGATTGGTCCTGTCTCATGAATTATTTAGGACATTTTTGGAGACTTTTTTTTAAAGATATGATAAGGCTGGTAGCAGCCAGAGAGGATCTTTTTTAGTTATGGAGCTCTACTTATGGAGTTCCCTTCTTCTTCAGTAAGACCAATTTTACTGTTCCTGGGATCAGATATAAATATTTTTATTTTTCCCATGCTTTTTCATATGTTGCTGTTTCAACACATTATAGTCTTAATTTACATTTTTGTAAACAACCCTGAAAATAATGCTGAAAGTTAGATACATAAATCCCTTACTAAATCTATAATATAATGAAATAGCTTCAGCTCTGTTTGCTGGGTTACACACAAATATTAATAATATTAAGGACCCCTAAATAGTAGGGGGGGTTCTGTACTGCTCATATGACACTTAGATGTTCTCAGCAAAAAAAAATCAAGAGCTCATATCAGAGTTCTCCTGTCTTCAAAACACAAATAGCTTTTGCTTCTGAATCAAGGAAACCTGGATGTAAGACGTGGTTCTCAGACCCAAAGATTTGAGCAATCATTATGTAAACACCTGCCTTCCCCTGGCAAGGCTATGTGAAAAAGACTCAGAAAGTCTTCACCATACTGTACACTAGATATGTTAGTTATAAACTGAAAATTAAGTTCACTTGCTTGAATTCTTGCATTCACCTTCCTTTTCATTTTAATCATTCTTGCTAAAGAGAACAATGTGCTTGGAAAAATCACCTTCTGTTCAGGCGGCTATCCAAAAGGCTGTCAATAGAAAACAAACAGTTGGTCTCTCCTGAAGATGTTTTAAAGAAAATAGTGATAAAACAGCATGCACAAAACATATGCACACACCTATCCTTGTCCTTGTATTGGTTTCTGTTTTATGTATTGATAAAAATTGGGTATCATTATTCAGACTCAATTCGCTGGAAAAATTGTGTGGGTGTACTGTTATACTCCTCACTAGGAGCAGTACAGCAATTAATACACATTGTTAAAGACTTGACTGGAGGAATTATTCATGTAGTAATAAGTAATTTTTCTCTGCATTTCTCATACTCATATCCTTATCATATGGGCAGGGTATACTATGGTTAGGATGTCCTTGTTTAAGGGAAGTTGTCTAGATTTAAAATGAAGAAAAGTTATATGACATAGGAAGTTATATATTTGCTTTCATCAAGATCACACACACACACACACACACACAGACTTCATTTTAAAAAGGAAAAAGTGATTCAGATGGCATGGATATTTTCAATATACATTGATGCACATTTGAACAAGCCACTTATACATTAACAGAGTATATTAATAGGCATGAATCTGGCTTATACTGAGAATGCTAAATTACTTTCCCAAGATATTACACTAATTCATCAACTGAATCAGTGAACTGCAGCTCCAAGCCCTGCACTTGAACTTCTGGGACCTTTTCACCTATTTTGTCTGAAGTGTGTTGTCCAGATGTTTGGACTGTGGAAATGCCCAACAACCTGGATAATCTTTGTATGAACTTGGTGCCCCTTGGATCAGCTTCTTCTGTTTGAGTGTTGCACCTTACAGAAGTTGTTTTTGAAAATAATGAATTCCAGTTCATAAAATAACTTTGCTCTCTAAGGCAGCAATACAAAGAAGGGATTTTAAATAACTTCATAAAACAGATCTGGATAGATGCAAAATTCCAGTAATGTGAATACAAGGGTAGTATTTTGTTTCTCCAAATTAAAAATATCAAATGCCAATATAGCAGAGGGTTTTTTTTCAATTATAGTTGGGATAGAGTTTCCTCTCTACAAAAGTATAAAGGGAAACATGTATAAATGTATTTCCTACCTTCAACCTACAAATCAGTGACTGCAGATCAATCTTTCTCAGACCAGAGTGTCTTTGACCTGCTTGACAGGCCTGAGCTGGCTACCAGATGTTTAACTTGTCCTCAGCCTATAGTAATTTATTTATCTGTTTATATATTTCACCAGGAAAGTATCTATTGCATTTCTTAGTAATTTGCAAGGGAAATCTGTAAGGACAGTAGCAGCGTATAATGTTACAAGGATTCCTTTTTTAGGGGTTTTGCTTCACTCAGGAGAAATATTTGGAATTGGATATTGGCAAAGTTCTTCCCCTCCTTATTCTCCAGACCCTATTTTTAAACATGTGGTTGAACTTTGTATCAGCACAGACTTGTCTGGCTCTATCGATCAAGCTTTGTTATAAAAAAAGAAGAAAAGAAGGGGTGCTTTGATCTCTGTACACTTTCAGCCATAAAAATTAAAGTAACACTCAAAGTGTCAGACATTTTTTACTTGTTAAAAGTGAACTATTAGGGTCTCTAATGATTTATTGCGTAGTGCGAAACTACTGAAACAAGAGCAACACAGTCTTTATATGCTGTTTTGTTTAAAGAGGCATAAGCATATTTATAGCTCTGTGATTTTAAGTGGACGTTTTGCATGCAGGAAAAGGACACTTCTCAGTGTTGCGTTGATAGAAGTACTGACAGATAATGTATTGGGCTCTTAAGCAGTTAGGACTATGCAACATTTCTACCAATCATCAGCAATTTCTGTTCACTTTGCAAGAAAGATAAAAGCAAACATGCAAAAAATGGACCATATATTCAGCTACTTACCATTTTTAAAGTAAAGATAGTGAATCTAGTTTTGCTCTCAAGCAGGTTTTGCAGGTTGACGTGTCAAGAGTCTGGAACTTTTTCTTTAAAAAAAATCTTGACAATGCCCTGTATAAAATTGAGAGTTGAAACTGCTTCTTTCCTGAAAGCAGTATTTCAGTTTATTGTACTTCTTTGCGTCCCAAAATATAACTTTGATAATTGGTGTTATATTGGTGAATCTATGTCCATTTGTTTTTCAGTGTTGGAAATACTAGTTTAATGCTTTGAGAAGCAAGTTACCTGCCTCCATATGCTGCTGAGAAACAGAGGCAGGCGAGCAATCTGAACTCCCAGACTGTCAGCTAGAAAGAGTTAGGATAGGGAACAGATGCCTTCCTAGCAGTTAGTGAAAGGAACTGTGGCCACCTAAAGGCCCCATTTTCATCTTGGAGAAAATCATCTAAGTGGTTGCTAACAGCTGGCAGTGACTTGATGGCACATAATATCAAAGGCCCCAATTATGCCCAGAATAGATGAGTTGGTCATAATAAGGATTATTACAAGACAGTTGGGGGGGAGTTGGAGACGCCCTTGGATCTGCTGGATGAAAAGCATCTGCATTCCCTTAAGTCAGTGTTGTCCAAACTTGGCCACTTTAAGATGAGTGGACTTCAACTCCCAGAATTCCCCAGCCAGCCATGCTGG